CAATTCTTAGTTGGCATTAGCATGCCATTTGATGTGATCTGATAATATTTATTTGACCCCACATCACCTCCCTTGAGTCCCAAATTTAGACATTGTTTAGAGAATATAGTTTAGGACCTTGTTTGGTAACAGGAGTTAGCCAGTGTTAGTACATCAGCGTCTGCTAAATCTTGTCAAATAAAAATGGACGAGTAAATAATGATTTCTTTCATACCAGTAACGATGTAGACTGAAATTTTTGGCTTACAATTTGGAGAATAAAATAGAAATTATGATGATTAGATTAAAAAATTCGCATGATTTGGGAGCATATAAGTAAAATACCTTTGAAGACACACAGACATCACATAACATATATAAATATATGTATGCGGGTTTGGGCGTGCACGTGCATGCACATTTATATGTTTATCTATATGGCTATATGCACAATAAGAAAAAAAAATGATAGCTAATGGTATGTTTTTTATTAGAAGAAATATCCAAATTCAATGCAATTATTCATTTATTAGAAGAAATATCCAAATCTAATGCAATTATTTTCTTCCCTAGGATTGTTACTAGTTGGCGATGGATCAGTCATATTAGCAAGATGTCTTCTCTTGTTGAGTATGGGGTGGCAAAAACTCGAGAAAGGGCCAACGAAATTTACATGTTTCTATGTGTTAGCAAACTATTAGATATCCGTTAAACAAGTTGCATCTAATCAGTTTAAGTCTCATGGATTAAAAAAAAAGAAGGTGTTCACCTACAACTTAAGACAAATTAGTTGGACAAGAATGAGGGTTTTCCACAAAGCACTAGCGAAGTGTTCATGGAGTGATGGTCCAACATGTTTCAAACAAGGATACCGAGGGCATAAAAAAAGTGTTCTTGCTTTCTAGTGTGGCAATCTTTTGATTTATTATTTGCATATATACCCTTTACATTATCAATATTTGCTAAATAACCCTCCAAATCTTAATATTTGCAAAGCTACCCCTCAAATTAACAAACTAGGAAAAAAATGCCCTCCACTTATTGTTAGGGAATATACTCGATATATTCCATTTTAGTTCTGTTAAAACTTTTAAAATGACTAACTTACCCTTTTTAGTTAATTAATTCATAATTACAATCTTAAATATAAAAACCTCGATAATAGACCCTAGCATTCTTCTCTAACTACAGGTATGGTCCATTGATGATTTGTGATTTAGAGGTAGATAGATAACGATAGAGAACTAAACTTCTGATTTTCCCTCTATTCTCTCTCCATCCCCCCCACCCTCCACCCCCCCAAAAAAAGAAAAAAAAAGGAAAAAAAAAGACATAAGCATCTTCCATCGTTTCGTATTGAATCAAGGGCATGCATCAGCTGAGATCTATCTCTTCTGTTCAACCAAAAAACCCCCAATTTAGCAGCAACAGAAAATCCACAAAGAATTGACTTTGTTTCTTGGTCAATTGATTGAGTAAAAAGATGAATCATTAGGATTATTAAGCTCAGCCACTGCATGGGCTATGATGAAGATGAGAAGATCCTTTGCTATTAGATTTCGGGCATGGATTATGAAAGGTGACACCTCCCTCTCATATCATCGTTGTCACCATCCCACCATTGGGCAGTGTCGCCTTGCAGATAGTTCCCCATTCTCTCCCTGCTCTCCTTCCTCCCCTTCATTTGAATGCGACTTCATTGATGGAGGCGATGATGATGATGGTGGTGATAGCGGGTTGTCTGCACTGAGGTAGCTTGGTGAGCAGAGTAAGAAGTCCGGTCAGGAGACCTAGTCCGCAGTGTTGTCTTCTTCTTCATCTTGAACTAATTTGAGATGGGGATTTTCAATCAGGCTGAGCTTATTAGAGAAAGGGTAAAAGAGTAAACCCGTGGTTAAATTGTTTGATAAGTGATTGGAGGGTATTTTTTATCAATGTTGTTAATTTGAGGGGTAATTTTGCAATCATGAAGATTTGAGGGTAGTTTTGCAAATATCAATGACTTAAGGGGTAAATGTACAAATAACTTTTAAAGGAAGCATCAAGAAAAGCAATTCTTGTGGTTCTGAATAAAGAAAAGCAAGAGGATACACGTATATGCTAACAAGCTTACTATGGAATCTTCAAAACTAATTGTGGTCAGTCATGTTCGTTCTTGTATCATGCTAGGCCTAGATCAAACCCATTTTTATCCCACATCTCATGATATCTTTCATCTATTTTGATGCTTACACAATTTCACTCATGAAGAGGGATGATGTCCGCGCTTCTCACTTCTTAATTATTTTATGTAGGATTTATTAATGTCATGATACAATAATGGAGGTTAGCTATGAAGGTAACTGGCAAACATACCCAAAATTATCAAAGTAAAGAAGAGTGTACAGAAAGTTCGAGCTTAACCATGACCAGACAGATGCTTATGAGGTGCTCTTGTTTTCTATGTTTAACTCTTAAGGCTATTATTATGGAGGGGTGGAGAGACAAGTAGGTATTAGGAGTCTTGATAGTCAATAGTCAGTCCATGTGACAAGAAGGTTGAAGATTAACGTATTGCAAGATTTTTGGTCAAAATTATAATCACTCATGTTCAAACATGTAATGGTGAATGTTTAAATGTAAAGAATGTGATCGATTTTTTTCCCCAGAAGTTGCTTATTTCGTGTTTCACCTTCATTCTTTTGTGTCTCATTTAAGCAGAAATTTTGTTATTGTTTTGGAGCTACAACTAGGTAAAATGGCAGCATTAATGCATGCATCATCTCTTGTTTGCCCAACTAGATTATAGTTTTTTTTCCATTAAAGGCAACACGCAGCGAAAGATGTTGACCTAAACTGAGTTACTTATATTTGTTGTTGTATTATGTAACACGACAAAATTGTCTGTTACTCAGAGGGAATAGCACTCAAACGTGCTTTTCATGATGCTGAATATTTAAATGCCTATGAATTGCATACAATGTACGTATTAAATACTTTCTAATTGTTTACTTCACATAATTCCATTCTTTATATGCCTAGGAAGGGCAGTTTCTTGGTTAGGCTGAATTCTGGGCGACAAACTAACATCTATGAAGTGGATTCAAGTTTCAACATTAGATTTTCAGTTATAGATGTATGCAACTTGAAGGATCTCTGACTGCCAAAGGATGGAACTTAAACCATTCAGTAATGCAGGTAATTAAAGTCGATGGATATGAGGCAGATGATGTGGTGGCTACTCTTACAAATCAAGTTTTACAAATGGGATTCCAAGTTGTCATTGGCTCACCAGACAAAGATTTCAAGCAGCTTATATCAGAAGATGTGCAACTTGTTATGCCCATGCCTGAACTTGGGCGGTGGTCATTTTATACTTTGCGACATTACATTGCCCAATACAACTGTGATCCAAGCTCAGATCTCAGTCTCCGTGAGTATACATCTCCTACTTACTCCTTTTTTTTGCTTTTTTCTCTTCAGCATACATCCTTAATGGCTAAATCTTCAGCCTTTAATCTTTCTATGAGTATGCGAGACCTAAGCTTTAGCATAAATTATTGTGTACTCATTTTGCTCTAGCTTTACTAAGAAGTGGCAGTATGATAACATAATTTGCAAAAGGGTGCTCTTTTTAATCTCATCACTATATTGACACTACAAGAATTATTTCTGCTGCTGCTGATGTTATAGTTATTGTTATCCTATGAGAGTTTGTGTGTTATCGCTATCAACACCCTTGAATCCTATAAATACCATTACCATACATTTGATAAAAAGTATTTTGTGATGGAATTCATTATTACAAGGAAACTCGATGCCTTGTTTATGACACTTATTAGTTCATCTTTGGTTTCAAGGAGTAAATGAAAGAGGAGGATATTGAATCTTGTAGTGTAGATTGCTTATTTGAGAAGGTAAAAAAAAGGAGGGTTACTTCTTGCTTGTATGAGATTAAATTGTATGACCGCTTTCTACCTTCCAGCTTACTTTATAGGTCTTATCAGTAGAGTATTTCAACCAGCATTTTAAATGTCAAATAGAACGTTTAAATTACGTTGATGCTCCACAGCCGTTGTGAATCTCTCTTGAATCTCTTATGGAATCTTCAGCCTCATTTTAGAGGGAGAGCGACATGACTACAGTTCCAGTTGGCAACTGGATGTAATAGAGGCAGCTCTTCTGGTTCTTGCTGATCATTTAAGGGAAATCCTCTGCAGGTAAATACATTTTAAGAGGAAGTTTTAGTGTTGCAATTTGCAAAGAGTGCAGGTTGTCTTCTTTGAGATAAATATATTCCACTGCCCACAGCTACAGCTATGTACTGAAGTAGAAACAGTGTCCGTATCTATGTGAATCAGATAAACACCTAACAAATTGTGTAGGAAGCTGAAGTAGTAGAGATGAACTCTAGAATTAAACAATATGTGTATTTTTTAACTGAAACATTTCGTAGTCTTGAGCTGTTTTAACCAGATTAGTTTAGGGTCATTCATTATAAGAAAATTTTATTTTTTTCTGCATTCATTATAGCTTTCATGTAATTTTATCTCATTTGTATATGCATCATTCTGTTCAAGAACTGGGTATTTCATTCTTTTATTTGACATACTACCCATAGATGGCTAATTCATATTTTCCTCGTGTATTCCTTTACTGGTCTCAGTCTTATGGTTAAGAGGGGTTTGATCACATATGGATTAGTCCTCGACTTTAGCTTTTGCACCCTGTCGTACTTTATTTTCGTGATGCTTCAATTCAGCTGAAGTACCTGAGCTTAGGTTCCTATCCATCTGACACTAACGGATATCTGTATCTAAGATGCATATTTGGATTTTCTTTCATAGATTTGTACCCTTTAATCTCCTTCCACTAAAAATGAACCGACTTGACAGCTCCATTTTGATTTGATATCATTGCATTAGTAACCTCATTGCAATATCTTCTAGGGTGCCTCATGGGCGATGAAGTTGATGGTGTTCCTGGACTTCAGCACTTGGCTCCTGGATTTGGTCGTAAGACAGCAATGAAGCTCTTAAAAAAGCATGGTTCTCTAGAAAACTTGCTCAATGCAGCTGCTGTCAGAACAGTGGGCAAACCCTATGCACAGGATGCTCTCACCAAATATGCTGATTATTTGCGGAAAAACTATGAGGTGCTTAGTCTGAGGAGGTAATCTCGTCATTTGAGCATGTAAAAGATTTATTTTATCAAAAGTTCCTTTATTTAGACATTTCTATTAGATGAAATCAGTTCATGGCTGATGCCCTTGGGTGACAATCTTTCTGCGGTATGGTGTTTAATGCCAGAAACTATCTGTTCCACAGGGATGCTAATGTTCATCTTGAGGAAGAATGGTTATCAGCAAGGGACGCATGCAACGACTCTGCTGTATTGTCGAGTTTTATGAAGAAGTTGTATGAACGCCAGAAGCTATAAAGCAGGTACGTGCTTTTTTCTTAAAGGTCATCTCCACCTTAGTAAGTGCTTTGAAAATTATTAGAGCATAGGTTTTGGCCTTGGGTTATGATTATAATTAAATTTATCTGTCCGTATTCCTTCATTTTTTTCGCATCCTTCATTTTTTTTCGCATTATTTGTTTACTTAAAAATATCTTTGCTTTTGTATTTTGTGTGGCACATACAATTCTCCCATAAGTATGCGGACTATAAAATCTGGATGTAGATGTATGGCCAGCTCATTACCAACTTCTTAGGTTGTCAATGTTCTTCTCCAGTGTGAGAAGATAACCATTTACTTTATCACATAGAAGCAATTTCTGTGCACATTATGTTTTCTAACTTGATTAGACGTACGAGTCAATGTGATTGATATCTAACTTGGTCATAAATGTTTGATATGAACTAGTCAATGGAGAAGCTGTTGAAAGAAGAGTGCCATAGAGAGCTTTAATCGTTTATATGGAGAAGGCAAATGTTCGAGCGAGTATCTCAAACCAGTCACTATCTCTTTTGCCGATGACAATATCGCCAATTTTGCAAAAATGGTACGTATATCTTAACTTTATTCCTGTCTAGTTCTCGTTACCCTCCCTAATTTTATCTTTTGATAAAATCGCATCAGATATAACACACCGCTGGCCTAGCTAACCTTCTGAAGTGCAATCCAAAGGCTGTTAGTTCCTTGCAGAAAATATGTACCCCAGAGGCTGGCTCTTGCTATGTTTTTATTTGACAGTGGGTGTAAAAAAGCTTCTTGTGCACATAATTTTATATCAACTGATGCCAGTAGTAAAATTTTTTGGATAGAACATAAAATATCATGTTTGCATAATGCATGCTAATTTATTTTTCTGGAAAGTTTGAAGTATACGGTAAAAAACTTCCCTTCATCTGAGAGATTTCCAAGCCCTACATTTTGTGATCTAAGCATCTAACGTGTTATTGATTTGTTTCAGGTTTGAGTCGGCCTCATTTGAGCCTGGCTAACAAAAGTGCTTGTTTTTTGTTTAGTCTGTAAATCTTTATCTTGATTTATTTTCTTGTCTTTTGTTTAGTTTGTAAATATTTATCTGAATTTATCTAACTTTTATGTTAGCATGTCTACTTTTCTCTAAATTTATTTATCTTTATTTTAGAGTTTTTCAGCTATATACTCCAAATCATCCATATTTATTAAATTACTCCCATAATCTTGATGTTTATTATAACTAGCATTAGCATGCGTGCATATGCATGTGTAACATGCGCAAAACTTTTTCATATCTCAAAAAATGCATCATAGATTCAATTATAATTATAATGTGATATCCTAAATCTTAGAAAGCTATATAGGGAAAACTGAGGTTTATAACATCTCTTAATATCATTTGTATATGTTTTATTTCTTTTATTGTAGAATAAAATGCATGTGCCTAATGCACAAAACTTATAATTAAAAAACTATTTTATACTTTATATTCTTTGGCTTTTTAGCTATACATATTATTGTTTTTGCTAATAGAAACTTTAATTTATATTTCTTTTAGGATCTAAAAAATATTAGATATGTAGTTATGAGAGTATGGTATGGAATATTCTAGAAAACCAAAAAAAGAGGGAGAAGAAAGACAAAATGTTTGTGATATATGGAATAATCTAGAAAACAAAAGAGTGAAGACTCTCTTATTGCCCTTGCAAGTATGGTAGAAGGTGAGAATATGTCCACCACTCATCCAAATTTTGTATTATCCCCATGTTGGAGATTTGTGTGTTTTTCTCTCGAGGCGCTACATTTTGAAAAGTTAAAAGATTTGGGGGTTATTTTGCCCCAAAAAACCTTTATTTTTATCTATCTAACTTTACACATGACACATGTATTATAAAAAAAAAGAAAAAGAAAAAGAAAAACCTGTCTGGTTTTCTATAAATTTGTCTATCTTCTATTTTAAGATGGTCGTTGTTTCTTTAAATTTCAGTCCTCATTGTCTTAACCCTCACACTTTTCAAACGAACCATTTAATTATCACTCACCTCCACAGTAATAAATGTTAGAAAGCGCACATGCGTAGCATCTATCACAATCTGACAATTAATGGCACAATCCAACCGCACAACCCCAAGGAACCAAACCCAGTAGCCACACGCCCTCAACCCTTACCCCCACCGGCGTAAATCCTAACAGCCATCACAAAAAAAGTGGTAACGCCCTCACTAGAAGCCCTTCCACTGTCTCAACATTCATGCAGTCCTACTCGAAACCTCACACTTCCCTCCATTTTATACCCCAAGCCTCCCCCTCCCCCTAGCCCACCACCCAATCAACAAACTAATAACTGGCCTCCATCTCCACCCCTTCAAACCCTAGCCACCTCCTCCCCCCCCTCTCCCCTCCCCTCCTACCAACCGCCCGCCGCCGTCTTCCTTCGGTCTTCTGACCTCTGGACCGAGGCAAAGGTCACCTCGCCATGGGGGCGACGTACACAAGGTCAAGCTCATAACTCCCCACTGGCTACCAAGGAGGTACGATGCCCGGCGACTCGTACATCCTCGAGGCGCGGCGGCGAGGCAGAGCCGGGTATTCCACCTGCAACGTACTCGTGGCGCGGCTAAAGGCAGCGCAAGTGCCTCGTCCTGTGCGCGGGGAAGGTGGTGGAGGGAAAGGTGGACCAGTCGGATCAGAGCTACCTTGATGATGATATGATCGACCGGGGGTTTGTGCTCACTTGCGTCGCCTGTCCTCGGTCCGATGTTGTGATCGAGACTCACAAGGAGGAGGATCTGTTTTAGATAATATAATTGGACAAACGCATTGGTGCATTGATCGATCGTGTGCTGCTGTTGTTGTGGTATATTATCTCTCATTGTTGTGTGTACTCTTCTACGAACTATGTATGTAGACGTGGAGAGAGAAGAAGAATAAACTCTTCTACGAACTATATATGTATGTAGACGTGGAGAGAGAAGAAGAATAAAGGGGTCGATGTTTAGGAAATTAATGTGTGATCTGTGCCAAATAAGTTTAATAAGCGCAGGCTTTTTTCATTTTTTGACTAGTCAACCTTGGGAGAGGTATGGTAGACGAAGTTGGACTTAAAATACTTTCACTGGTAGAAAAACGAGCAACCTAGACGGAAATTTCCGTCTAGGTTGATCCAAATCCCGTCTAGGTTAGTTCAAACGAGCAACCTAGACGGAAATTTCCGTCTAGGTTGATCCAAATCCCGTCTAGGTTAGTTCAACTAGACGAAATTCCGTCTAGTTAGGAAATTTCCGTCTAGGTTGATCCAAATCCCGTCTAGGTTAGTTCAACTAGACGAAATTCCGTCTAGTTAGGTCAGTTTATTTTGCTTCCGTCTAGATTGAATCAAACTAGACGGAATTCCGTCTAGGTTGATCAATATAGACGGAAATCAACCTAGACGGAAGTAAGAATTCCGTCTAGTCTGCCAGATTAGACGGAATTCCGTCTAGGTTGATTATGACAACCTAGACGGAATTCTGTCTAGGTTGGTTGACTCAACCTAGACAGAATTCCAACCTAGACAGAATTCCGTCTAGGTTGCTTTTTTTTTCCAACAAAAAAAATTAATTACAATTTGTATTTTCTTGTACAATTACATTAATATATGAATACATCCAGAAAATACTATACACATGAATACATCCAACCATCCAATTATAATCAAAATTCATAACAATTTCATTCAAAACCAAATATAACCAAATCCAACACATTGCACAAATCCAACCATCCACTTTAATATATACATCAACCAGTTCCGTCTAATATATACATCCAACATCATATATACTAACAATGCACATGACTAAGATAGGATACACGACATGAATAAATGTAGTGTTATAACAAATAAAACTGTTTATTGCATTAAAAATAAAAAAACCTCATCTATCGTCGTCGGCGGGGGTATCTCTATCCCGATTACAAGAACGAGTGCTGCTCCCTCTAATATCTCCACTCTGAATGTTCAATTGAATAATCATTATGTGGTGTTTGATAACATATTAAATAAAAATAACTTTATAAATATAAGAAAAAATAAGGTACCTGAGCACTGCTCTGTCTAGCGTTAGAATTATCGCCAATCGAGCTAATGATCCGTATGATACCACCATATGCGCTATAAGAAATCGCACCGCCTAAATATTATATAATATACCCCATGAGATCGTCCATCGAGTTCACCGTCAGCGCAACTCTAGTCATCTCATTAGTCACCTGAATATGCAGCTCCGGGTCAATTTTGTCAATCAGATACGCAGAGATACGTGCAACAAATGGCATAGCCTGGAAACTGCTTGTGGCTGCTCTCATTGATGTAGATGGCGTGAAGGATGCTATGGATGATCTCATGCTTATGCCGGGTGAAGCTCCGACACCATGCAGAGGATATCTTCCTCTCCTATTATTAGGGAGAAATAAATATTAAACTTTGCTCTCAAATTCAATAATGGTAAACAAATATAAATAGTATGTAGTATTCAAATTGATTCGATTTTTTACCATCCATACCTGTTATGACCCATCAGGTTCTGTGTGAGATTGATGTTCTCCTCTGCAGAAAGCATGTGAGGGTCCGGCTCGGTTTGTTCCTCCTCATGTGAAATGTACACAGATGCAGCCTCCTTGGTTGCAGCCTCAAATCCCTCCTAAAGCACAAATCTATAGTTAATTCAAGGTAAAGACCATATTATTTGTGTTCTTGTTTCCTCGTAATGTTAACAACAAAATAGAATTAATAATACTACTCAAGATATGTATAAGTCTCACCACCAACTCGAGATTAGCCTTGATCTTATCCCGATTCTTCTCATCACCCCTATATCTATCACGAAAAGTACCATACGCCGCTTTTACCCTCAAGTGTATTGGCATTAATGATTTTCCCTGTCATATTATAAATTATGAGATTTCATAATCATACTAAGCATTAAGATCTTTTAAAGCTTTACATGATATATACCATATCCTGACAATAAACATCATCCAGATTGGCATAGGAGTGTGAGCCAAGTGGTGGTCATGCAGCTTCTTTCTTCTATTTTTTGACCCCTTCGTGGCTTTATTCTGTAAATATGCAATAAAATAATTTCTTAAAATTATAAAGTAATTTTTATGAAACTAACATTGGCGGCATCGCTGTCCCAATACACAAGGAGAGCCGTGAAATAAATCTCGTCAACTCGGTCATCGAGGTTTAAAAACCTCTGCCAGTCCTCCTCATATCTGTCACATGTTTCATGTTTGATCTCATGCCTCCATTGTTTGAGGACTGCTTCAACCTTGACATTAAACACATAATTCCAAGCCCCCTCAAAGTCCTCAAGGCAGAAGCAGTCCTGTAGATTTACATACACATTTAGTAAGGATAATTTAATATCAATTACTAATTATTAATAAATAAAAATCTAAAACAATATGCACTTACCATAAGCTCAGTCCATATCGCCTTGTATGCGGTCCATGGTAATTCTCAAAAATAAAAATAAGGGTTGATAATGTTCGCTCTAGGCACGAGAATCCCAATATATGCATTCAATCGGGTCGACCAAGGACCAATGGGCAAATTAGAACTATTCCACCGAATTAACGTCCTCATTCCTCTTGGCGATTGTTTAGATTCAGGTTTACCTCCGTCACGTCTGTTCTCTACGCGATCTCGCTTAGCACCTACAATAATAACATGATAACCTATCATATAATATATAAATGTGAAAATTAAAAGTATTTATACAATTTATCATTTGTTATCCCTCTTTCTTTTGCTACGAGTGCATCAGCTTTCCTAGTCTCCAACATAGGAAGCATTTCCTCTAACTTTCCTTTCCTAGTCTCCAACATAGGAAGCATTTCCTCTAACTTTCTCGCAGCACGTGGGTGGTACTTCCTTGAATCAGCCTTGGACTTATGAGAGTCCGGATTCCTCTAACTTTCTCGCAG